TCAGAAATTGTCTAATAAATTATTTTAACTATCTCAATCGAATACAGTAGCAGACTAATAGTATTTTATTCAAAATTGTCGAATTTTGTCCCCTTCGTCACGGTGTCCGATTGACGATTAACTCAGATAACAAAAGAAATATAGATTTTATATCGGATTTACTCTGAAATCAGCTAAGAAACCCGAGCAGCTCTTCTCTGACACATATTTCACGACCAACTACTTTCTGACTTTAAAATAATTTAAGATAATCGGTTCAGTTGTGGTTTTGACACGCACGAAGTAGGGTTAGTTTAACGGACTTCAAAACGAAGACAATTATATTTACCTTATCACCTATTGACCACCAGATTCCTACTACTTTCTTATACGACGGTGAGCACTAACTACACACTGCACGCTGCACCTTACGAGAAATTTGAGATAACTGCAACGATTATACGAATTCTGACAAACCTGGTGACACTTTTTAAAGTATTCGTTTCTCCTCTATTGATGATTTGGGACTTCGATATAGTAGTAATACGATGTATCATAGAGTTGTTTAACGAAAAACATGGGTGTTTTTACCAGGTTCAAAAAGGTACGAGCGATGATAACGAAAACAGACAGTAAAGCGGGGTCGGGGACAGCGCATTTTCCGTCTGCTAGGGACGTTTAAGATATATTTAATGGTGATGGAATGTGTTTGAAAGCAATTAAATTGCCTTGCCAAGTCTCAGACACGCTATATTTTGGTAATAATGTGTTCGTTATGGCTACGGTGACGATTGGGAGAAATACAGATGAGTTGAATTCTCGGACACCGACATGCATCTTATTTGTGAAATCACCCATAAATACTTACCATCATTGTCGAAGTAGCCCCAGAGGGGAAGTCCTACGGCCGTGGCCCCGACGGCGAAGCAGACGAAGCCGAGGCAGGCCACCCCCGTGGAGTAGAGGGCGGTGCCCTGGGCAGCGGCGGCAGCGCCCTGGGTGGTGGGCTTGGACTGGGGGCCGGCCATGGCATCGCGCGCTCACGAGCTCGGGGGGCCCGCAGCCCCTCAGCCGGCACTCAGCCAGGGCATCTCCTGCAACACAACAAGGGTGGGTGGGTGAGTGACAATCATCAACGCTAAAGTGCCGCAGTAAAGAGTAAAGTCGCATTTGGCGAGTTTCGTGCCACAGCGCGACTAACGTGCAACAAGTTATTTAAAACGCCAACAACTACAGCAGGGATTGCGGGGCGGGACAACGATCCTTAAAGAGAAG